ATGAACTGCATTTAGACATCTAAAAAGTGATATAAATATCCTCTTGTTATATGAAATCTATGGACTGTATCTTGTGGTAGAAGTAACTGAGAATGTAAAACACAAAACTTGAAATTCAGAGCCTGACCCTTTAATGTTATAAATTGCTGGTACAACATTCTGCACATATTTATTTATTATTAAATAAATTCTTTGTTAAATTAGACAAAATGAATATAATTTTACATTGTATACACAACTTGATCAATATTTTTGGAAAAACAAGAATATATTTTTTAAAGTTTATTTTTGTGAAGGTGACAAAATTTGACTATTATGGTATTCAAACTCCTAGATAGGGAATAACATGTACTACTCATTCACAGAAGAAAGTAATTCAAAAATGCACTCTATGAAGGTTGTTGGATAGATAATGTTACCAACATTATGACATTATTATGCTATTCTGTGAGTCAGGGAAAAAGGCAAACCTTTTACTGTAATCTTTATGACAGGGCAAATGCAGCAAACATAAAATAACATAAACACTTGAATTATTAAAGCTTACCAGAGGTACATTACTCTAAAGTTGAGATTGATTTTTACTTTTCTGCTGTTCATTTGCATATTTTTGTCATACATAGACATGTGACTAATTTGCATAGTGATTTCATGACATTATTATTGTTTAAGAATATAATAAAAATTAAAAAAATTAAATTCAACAATATCAATAAACCATCAATATGTACCTTGGCAATTAAAGTTATGCAAAGAATGTCAACAAAATTCAACAATACCTGGTAGTACTGTTATTCCATGGCTAATACACAAGTAATTTTACAGTACATATGCAAAAATATTGTTTACAATTATACACTACGGTAATTTGTTTTGGACAAATTGCAAGTGCAATGATACATACAGTGAATTTTAATTAAATATTTGGGATTATCATGACAGGTCTGTGTGGCATTATGGTCATTGAATGCACTATCCAGGCGTCAACCGAGCCCAGTCAAATACATGTACCAGCACCTGTGAACATTACCAAGTTTCCCCAAAAGTCACATTTTGACAATGAATTGATTAATTTCTTATTTTAGTTTATTAAAAAAATATTTAAACTGTTAACAGTATGTATAAAATACTATGACAGAGCCCCACACCCTCCCCGTGGCTTTCGTTGCGTATGGAAGTTATTTTCACGAGTGATGCGGTGTATCCTGCGGCCGTACTTTCAGGAGCGAAGCGAGTGAAAGTACAGCAGAATACACTGCATCTTGAGTGCACTGCATCTCACATAAAATGTGTTTAAAAAATAAAAATAGTTCAGTAGCCAATGGATATACCATTTTCATTTGCATATCGACTGTGAAAATACCGAAAACATTATTGCATGGGTGATATGCAAATTAGTTTTAGTCAAAATAAGTGACTGCCTAAAAGTACCATTACTGTTGTTCAAATTTCATTTCACTCGGCAAGTATATTCATGTACTCCAAGGGAAAAATATCGTACTTCTAACTATTGTTTATTTCTGCTATGTTTTGAAAAACGGAACTCCTGAAGGGACTACTTTGTTTGCTCTCAGTCCTCATTTGCATATGAGGTGTGGAAATACCGATTCAGGAATGAATCAAAATAAACTGCAGTACATATGTAATAATATATACCCGGTAGTAGTATAAATAATAGATTTAACCCAATGATTCATGTACACAGAAGGGCAAATGTCATTTAAGTCATAGATGAATTGAATAATTCTTACATCAGTTTTTAATTGATTGGATATATATTCTTTATCATTGCAATTGTCATGTGGATAGCTGTTTTTTATTACATTTGAATAACTGTGTAGGAAAACTTTACTAGCCTGTCTGTGACAATAGCTGTCAGAGCTAAAAATTAAATTAGAATTTAGTGAATGGGTAGATGAACGGATGGATGCATGACAGGTAAATTTATAAGGCAAATAAATAAACAAACAAATAAATGAATAAATACAAGCTTTCATAAAAAGGCAAAGCAAACTGATAGCCAGCTTGAGAGTTAAGTTAAGTCTGAAAGACTTCTTGAAGCTGATATATGCCGATCGGGATACAAGTGTTTCTGGAGCAGGATATATATACATATATCGATATTTTGTCTTTGAACGTCTCAACGCACTAAACAAAGAAATAAAGCAACGAAGTCGTCACCTGCGCATGCGGCAGACGACCATAGTGTGTTGTTGTTTAGAAACAAGTCTCTACCCATGAGCCTTTGCGTGTTTAGCGTGCATTGTTATCTTCGCTTGGGACTCAATTCCGGTGCCGGGATAAATATTCTTCAACAACAGGTAGCACAAAATTACCCTTGAAAACCAATGTTTAACACCTAGTTTTTTTGTAGGCCTTTAGGTGAGGAAAGTATACATACAAGTTTCAATACGCATCATACTGTAACAAAGTTCACCAGCATGACATGAGGCAAAATACCCGAATTGGAATACAAAACAAAATCTTGATTGAAATATATTGATTTGAATGTGTCCCAAGCATGATATACTGTAAAATACTTTATTTTTGCTTAGAATTAATTTTCGCTGAAATTTCAATGAAAATAAAATCCAGCGAATATACCTTTTTTCTGTATTTGTTTTACATTCAACTGGTCAAGAATCAGTGAAAACAAATTCCATACCAAACACCCAAAAAGTCGTTTACAGTATATCTCATTTGACAGACAGTTTTGACTGAACTATGCACAGGCGCTCGGAACGTTTCCTGGATAATAAAAAAATGATCTAAAGTGGGATCCGCATGGTTAGTCAGTCGCCGGTATATTCCCCTACTACTCATATAATAACACAAGGTAAGAAAGCGGTGACA